GGTACGCCTGTGTTGAATGTGAAAGATTGAGAGATGATACTCTTAATTTTGACTTTCGCGGATCTATTTTCCAAGAAGTTAGATATCCATTTAGTGAAAGTTTTTAGTATTTTGTAACTAATTAATTTGTGTTTGAGGCCATTAAGGCATACTGTGTCAAAGGCTTTTTGCACATTGAGGAAGGTGGCTACAGTGGCTTGTAATTTATTATAGCAGTTGCATATGGTTTCTATTAATCGTACAATGTGATCTATTGTTTGTCTGTTTTTCCGGCCGGCATTTTGAATGTTTGAAAACGTGTTGTTTTTCGAGTAACCATAACAACCTAGTTGTGATGATTTTCTCAAGGAGTTTACTGATGCAGTTAATTAAGCTTATTGGTCGGAAGTCGTTACGATGTTTAGAGCTTTGGCCTTTTGGGGGAATTAGAGTGATAATAGCTGATTTACATGTACTAGGAAAATATCCGGAGAAGTGGAACAGATTGTATAAATTTCTAGCAGTTTGGGGTATGAATGTTTAAGTACAGTGTTGGGGACTTTATACTCGCCTGGTGAATATTTTTAAGTTTGTGGAAGTGAATTTTGATTTCTGCTGTAGTGATTGGGATTGATATGTCGGTTATTAGGCTGTGAGGTTTGAGAGTGGGTATGTCGACTGGGAAAGAAGTTGAGAAGAACTTTCGGTTATCGTTAACAAAGGAGTTAATTTTATTGTAATGTTGGTTGTCGAACATATTGCTCTGAGGGGTAACAAATGTTTTTGTGAAGTATCGTCAGTTTGTTTGTTTGTTTGTAATTAAGCACAAAGCTACACAATGGGCTATCTGTGCCATGCCTACCACGGGTTTCGAAACCCAGATTTTAGCGTTGTAAGTCCGCAGACATACCGCTGTGCCACTGAAGGGCAGTATCGTCAGAATAGTTCTGATGTTGGGGCATCGGTAGAGGCAGTCATGTTTTCATACGTAATGTTGCCGGAGTCCGAACTTTCGCGATGCATGCTTTTAAAGATTTTCCAGAATGCGGATGGATCGGGCTTGAGATGGTCTAATGTGTTACAAAATTCGTTCCAGTTATTTTTTGTTGGGCACTGATTAGTCTTTCCATTTTGATTTTGACTACATTTATTTGTGGTTTTAGTGATTGATTTCTCGTGGCTATAAACTGTCTGCGTAGTTTGCGCTTTGATCAGTGTGTCGTAGTTTAGGTAGGTATTTTGGTTTGAAACTAGAAGTGGTCAGAAATGTGGATCTCTCTTCGCCCCGCACTTGACCGATTGGGTTTCTGTTCACTGTTGGAGTTAATGAAAGTGTTTTAGAGGTCCTTGGTACTGAATGAAAGATCAGTGTTGTCGGTCTTTATAATATTCTGGTGGATTGTAAAGGATGTGGTTTCGTCTTTTTTTTTATTGTAGAAATAAATATTTTGTTCACTTCATCACATTTGTCCAGTCTCCTTCTTCCATAAAGAATAAGAAACTCAGTCAGGTTTTTAATACAGTGCTCCACATATTTCCTGGTCGAATGTCGTGTTACTACTGGACCTGTCTGATATATGAAAGGAAATCAGTTTAATTTGAAAACACCAGAAGTAGATAAGAAGAAACTTTGGTGCTGTGACAACAGAATGTATTGAAGAGTTTAAAGGAATGCTTTTCATTGTAAGCAAAATTACTCTTGACCAAGAGGGAGAGTTTACTAATGGAAAGAGGTGATTGTACAGCAGAGATGTCAAGTCAAGCAGAAGCTATATCCTAGATATAGGATTTTTGCCCAAGGTCTGAAGGTCATCCCTGACATCAGTCAGCCTACAACTACAAACTCTGGAGGATTTGCCCACGTCTTGAATACCCAAACCAGTTGAGCAAATAATACACTTGAGGACCAATCTTTGCGGAAGGAAAGCACAAACGTCTAAGGTTCATTGAACATAGCATCTGGTGAGTTCGAAACCACATGATTTCGAGCTGCATGATCATGGACTGAAATGAAGTAGCGTTCCTTGCTTTCACTGATATCAATTGGTATTGAGAAGCAATGTATGATTTGTCATTGATTCTCGGGGGAAATAAGTCAATTCTACAGTCTAGAGGCAATCTACCTTTCTCTGAGTATGTGTTGAATTATAGTAGTAAAAGCATGAATTATAATCTGGATAAACAGACATTTAATTATAATTTTTCCTGTGATTATTTATTCTGTGAAGCCCTACGTATAATTGAGTTGAGTTTGCTCACATCTAGATAACACCAACGTCGCTACCAAACGTAAGTTCGACAGGTAACTTAAATGTTATCAAAGTGGCTCATGCGATAGTTGGAGATGAACTGTATACAAGGTTTATACCAACAGTATTGTTTGTAACAAGGTGATTTTTAACTTTAGTGATGGTGTACTCAATGAACACTGTAAAAGTGTCCCAGCTAAGGGCCTAAAGTTTTGCTTACCTCCCCCTAATCTTAAATTATCTGATAACCTGTTATCCTTTGAGAGTACTTTTGAAATCTGAATCTATTTTCAACAGGACCTAGATAATTTTATAAAAACAAGATTCGAAAACACTGCTTTGTCTTCATTTTACAACTACAACTCCCATAAATCTGCGTGCACCATTACTAAAGAAGTTGGCTAATAATGAAAATATCGTCGTCACCCGACCTTATAAAGGTACATGTGTTGTTATCCTTATTAAATCGAATTACTTTAACAAAGTGCAAGGTATCCTCAGCGATAAAACAAAATTCAAAGATCTTAATGTTGATTGGTTAAAGCTCACCATAAAACGTGAATAAAAAATACAACGAACCTTCCGAAAGTATACACATTGAAATTACATTTCAGAAAATGTCCTCGAAGACATTTAACCCTCAGGCTCCCACCCAGGTCTCATGTATGGGTTATCTAAAGTTCACAACGATAACAACGCCTTAAGACCTATGTTATCAAGTATCTGTTCTATACTTATAAATTGGCTGAATTCCTCGTTCCTATTCTAAATTCACTCACTTCCAACGAGTTTATAGTTAAAGATTCCTTTCCCTTTTCACAAGAAATTTCTAAAATTAATAATGGTGATCAATATATGCTTTTTATATTCGACATTGAATCTTTATTCACAAACATTTCACTCGAGGAAACAATACAAATAAGCTTAAAGAAACTTTTCCCCATCAAAAATGAAACATACACAAGCTTTAATCACCAACGGTTTGAAGAATTACTCAAACTTACCCTAAAGGATAATCACTTATACACATTGAAACTACGTTTCAGAAAATGTCCTTGAAGACATTTAACCCTCAGGCTCCCATCCAGGTCTCTTGTATGGGTTATCTGAATACAAACCGGCTCTATATAGAAAGTATGTTGATGATACCTTTTTTACTCTTTCGAAGCTTTAATCACATCAAACAATTCTTGGATTATTTAAATTCGAAACACCCTAACATTAATTTTACTTGTGAAACTGAAAAAAACACACGGTAAATTGCCTTTTCATGATATCCAAATCAACAGATTAGATAACCACTTCACAGCATCCGTTTATCGTAAAATACATATATAGGCCTACATACTCGACAGGCCTACATACTCGATTCGACAGTTTTCTTCCGAATTCCTTTAAACGTAACCATATACGCAGTCTTCTCAATAAAGCATATAACGTCTGTTCTAACTGCCTCTCTTTTCACACCACCTTACAGAACAATTTAATAAACAACGGTTATCCCTTGAATTTTATTCAAGCCATAATATGCAAGTTCCTTTCTCACAGATTTGAATCCTAAAAGAAACCATACACTGTTGACAAGTACCCATTAAGACTGATTGTTCCTTTTTTTAGATAAGCAAAGTTTCATAGTGAAATCACAAATTTTAAGAATGATTAAAACATTTTATCCACAAGTTCAACTACAAATGATATTTAAATCACCTTTCAAAATACAAAATCTATTCAGATCTAAAGACCTATTACCTACCCCTATGCGTTCCAGGATCGTATATAAATACACATGGTGGCTGTAATGCCACTTACATTAACAAAACTATACACCTGCGAGCCTGTGAACATATGGGAGTATCAAGCAGAACTGGTAAAAAACTATCAAATCCACCAGACTCCACAATTTGCACACATTGTGAAAACACTAACCACCCTGTCTTGATTATGAATTTCAGTCATCTCATCAGGATCATCAAATATGGAACTTTTAATTAAAGAAAGTTTAACTATTATAAATTAATTCTCAACTTTAAATAATAATGCAACTTTACTACAATTAAGTCTGTTTTAAATACTTGTATGATATTGTTGCATTATTCTATTCTCTGTTTATTTGATTGACTTTTAATTTATTTCATACTTTTATTCTGTATTATAATTACTATTTATAGAATGTTTAAACTTTATAAACTGTCTGTACCTAATAATTTACCATGTTCAATACAGCTTGCTGAAGTTAGAATATGTGTATTCCGAAACATTCAAGAATTAAATGTTTGTTACTGAACATACACGTGTCAAGTGTTCGTTGTTGCTGCCGTCGTCCTGTTGTTCATTATTAATAAACATACATAAGCTGTAGAAGTCTTCTCTTTTTTTTCCTTTTCTTCAGTCCCCAAATTCTTAAGGTTTCTATCATACAGAAAACAAGCACCCTTTTCTGCTTGTTATTTAATAAGGCACTATTGTCCGGTTTGACAATCTGCAATGATAACATTAATTTTGAGTCCAGTAATGACTGTATATTTTAAAACATGAGGGCTTTGCATTCACATAAAACTGTCCTAATCATTTGTCATCTAATTATTTTTTAGGTATACAATACTTTGAAAGTTATTATCAAAATGTACTTTTTCTTTGGAAAATTGTATATTTTTTTCTACAATTTTTTCTTTTCCAAAAAAATGAATATATCTAGGTAAGTTAGAAAGATGATGTTTGGTAATAGTTTTATTATTTTTCTTCTAATAAAATATGGCTGTTTTAACATTGAAGGCATGGTATGGAGTGGGCCTCCATCATTTGTCTCCAGCAGTGGTCCATCTTCTCCCAATTCTTCTTCTCTCGATATATGGACCAGACTCCGACAGATGGCTGAAAGTGAACCAACAACAGCAGACTCCTCAACACCAGGCAGTCGAAACAGTTGTGGCACACCACCTTCACCAAATGATTGTAGATGATAGTCAGAACTCTAGTACGTTAATAACTTAGTGTGTAAACATAGGTAATAAGAAGAGATACCATTTTCTTCTAGTCATTATGTAAACTGAATATGTTACTAAAAACTGTGAGAATGTACTTTATAGCTGTATTAAAATAATAGAAAATGTGAAAAATAAGATTTGCAAATGAATATATCACAAGTGACATAAAAGAACGAACATGATACTATCCTAAGAACTTACGAGAATCAAACAGACTATTTATAGGTTGTCGTTATGTTTAAGAACTTGTAATGAAGTCACAAGACTTCAGCCTTCTCATTTATTGTCTTCAGTATAGATTTGTTTTGACTGATAATATTTGGCAAAAATGTCATCTTTTGAAACCTCTAGATTTGAAGTCTATAATGTAGTAATTGTATTTATTTGTCATATTTTATTGGTAGGGAGGTTTCTGTTTTGTATTGCACAAATATCTGAGCACGAATTGTTTTTATAAATGTTAGTTGTGTACCACTGAGTATAAGCCAAAAAACTCTATAGTGTAGTTTTATAATCAAAGTTCTTATACTGGGTAAATCTTTAAATAGATTTTGCTTACTATTTATTTATGAGGCTGAAATAATTAAATTTGAAAAAGGACTTCATCTATCTGTTTAATTTTTTGGCATTACAATCACAAAACAAAAGTATAGTTTTATATTAAAAGCTTTTTTTAAAATTAAACGATAAAAAAAGAATCCAATTCGTTTCTCTCGAAACATTCACATACTCCAATCTATCAAATGAAAAGATTAAAACAAGCTGCCCACACAGATTAGAAGTAAAAATGAATCTAGGAAAGTTTATTTAACTTAATACACCAATCTAACTAGAAATATTCAGCATCATGAAACAAAAACCGTTTTATAATAAGAATGCAACAATTCCTCAGTTGGTTACCGTTGCTGCTGTTCACTTAAAATTTCCTCATTTTGCAATATGTTCATTTAGTTGCCATGCTGATGCATGACTTGTATTTCCTTCTGATTAATACCTTGTTTTAACTTAAGGTTTACTTTTTAGTGTATTCTATAAAGTATATGATTTTATTCCTTGCTGCTTATATGATGCCTTATTACTCCATTACCTTTGATGTAGCAACTACAGTCTGTAGACTTACAAATGTTAGCAGGAATGGATGAAATGGTTCCACCGTTAAATGCATAAGTTAAAACTAGGTACATTTAAGATGAGAGTGTCACTCTAACAGTTTTGTCTAAATACATCCTGCAATTGATATACTTTGAAAATGAAATTATTTCCAAATCTGTCAATAAAAACTGTTTCACACATCATTAGTAGACTTATTTAATTGGATAAAAGATGTAAATTTAGGACTAATGTTGAGAACTGTAAACATGTCAGTAGTGAGTGGCTTATGTAAAAGATTATAGAACACTTTCCAGAGTCCATGTAGCGTAAGTTCATCAACAAATCTTTTGTGGATGCTATTAGGATAGTAACCATGCAAGTATATAGCAAGATCATCACAAAAAAAAATTTTTGAAGTTGTATTTCTATATATATGTGTCAGAAGATTATATAACACTTCTACAATTTGGATGTCTTAGTTGATGTATTTATTATTCAATAAGAAGTTTCATATTTCCATTGGGGGTAGAGTGAGACAGTGTGAAGTCAATTAAGTATCAGTCATGAAAAAGTTGCTATTATAATTAAGTTCAAAAATGTATTAAAGTGTTAAGTTGAATAATTCTGCTCTACCCAAATCTACCTAACAGTGGTACAGAGTGGCTTCACATTTTCTTAAATAAACAACATTAGTCCACATAGTCATTGAACACAATTTTATATATCATCATCAGGATCACAGAAAGAACAATTATAACAATCCCAAAATGTTATATGACTAAATATTAGAACAATGTTCTTGTTTTTTAAATTGCAATTAATAAAACTTATTTTATTCAGGCTTAACTTACTTAACCTCACTTTATGTAAGATTGTGAAGAAAACTTGTACAACTAATAAAAAACAAAACGTGTGAATTTTAAACATCTTTCACTTATAAAATCTCCTTGCAAGGAAATCTAGAAACTCTCATAATGTGTTAGTTATGGAGCCTTTTATGAGCAAATATTCTGGCCATTGTATCAGTAGTTATATATAAATGAAATGACACTATCATTCAAAAATATTCATCTCCTTCTTTCAGCAAACACTTTATTTTTACTTATTTATTAATACAAAGTGAACATTCAGAAATTATTTGGCCTTTTTCCAATGAAGGAAGAATTTGTAATACTGGATTAAATTATTTCACGGCTGTCTATTACATAATATGGTAACTGCACTCTATGATGAGTCACTTAAAATGGTAAATATGCTGTTCTGGTACTGGTCTTATTTGAAAATATACTTTTTTTTCATGGTAATATTTTCACACTTACAACCAAAAAAGGTAAATTTGAAAGTTCCTTATTTGACATTTTATGTTGAAAAAGACCATTCCAACAAAGGTTTATTAAGAAACTTTCCACATGCAAAAACCAGTAATGGTACATCTGCTGTACTCAGTGTAATCTCACAAATTAACAGTCCTCAAATGCTAGCATTTTAAAAAACAAATTTAACATTTTAAAATAATTGATTTATTTTACAAAAAATTCAAAGTCATGTAATAATTCTGGGACACTAGGAATATTTTAAAATTGCATACATATATACAACAAAGCTGTAAATACTATGCAAAGAACTGAAAATCTATATTATGTTCTCACAAAATGTTGCAGTACTGCAATAAACTTTCTTATAAATATTTTTAAAACATTTCATGGTTGTTTTTAAAGGCATAACTTCACAAGCTTTGAATAAAAGTAATACCAAATGAACAGTGATTTTGATTTAAAACAACTTACTGCAATAGAGAATTTAATCTGGTGTCATTATTTGTACAATTAAACAATTTACAATGTTACATTTTTAATCTACTATGTATCATGTTTGTTTTTTCCAGTATAAACATTCTTGGTATACATGTTCCCTCAAAATGTTGACAGAGAATGGAGTAGAATGTGTTATAAATAATATTGTATGTAAAATTATTGTATAAATCTGGTAAAAATATGCATCCCCCCCCAAATTGAATAGTGTTTTTATGGATGCCACAAATAGTTATTTAAAACTTGTTGAAACTTATTACTTCAAAATGATATTAATTTCCCCTTTTTATTTCAATGACTTTTGAAATAGATTTTTTGACAATATTTTCAATGTTAGCAACTTCACCAAAATTTGCCCATGGACACAACATTAAAAGGGAAAACCAACTCACACTAGATCGTGAAAGAAGTTTTAATTGTGTGTCTTGCAGCACTTACGAAATTCACTGAAAGGTAACATACTTGGTCTTCCAAACAAACCATATCAAGTTTTAATAAAACTTACATAGGCAGACTAAACAACCAAGTTATGTTCTAAATATTTTCATACATAGTCTAGCTTCAACAGGTAATAATAATAATGATAAATAAAAAAAATAGTCATTATACATGGATTAACTTGTAAAGTGAATCAGTATGTCTCAGAAAACAGGTTGGACCATGAGGTGCATAAAACCATTACAGAACAGAGAAAATGTGGAGCACAGAAGGAAGTGGTTGTTTATGGTAAAAAGCAGACAATACAATGCTTGTGAACGACAAAGAAATCGTCATCAGGGAACATTATAAATCAGAATGAGCTAGGTAGAGAACTAATACAGAAAATGAAAATCATCACTAAACAGACGCAAGATAGAATGTGCAGGACATAGTAAAAAATATCAACAGTTGAACAATTACATTAAGTGGGCAAGGAAGAAGTGGAGGAATGATGGCTAATAGAATAATTATGAAAAGAGGATAATGGTTATTAATGAAGTATTTTATAAAAGTTACACTACTGAAATCAAAAAAAGAAGCTTAAAAATTTCCCTGTAAACTCCAGTTACACAATCACCATGGGTGGGCTATCACATGCAAGGTACATTTAAGAAACTACACAGTCACTGCTATACTTATCACAAAAATGAATGTAACTCTTACCTGATGATGACAGTACTATGGGCCAAAATGTTGTAATTATTAAAATAATAACTTGCCTAGTGTAAATATTTTTTAATACAATAATAGTAAAAGTACGATCTTAAGCCTTTCAAAACATGTTGCCAACATAATCAAGACTTGGTAACTGTATATATGGTTACTTTCGTGTTCTTTTTTTTTTTTATTACAAGATATAAAATTGTGGATATTTTACAACAATTTTTCACTTCACAGTGTTTTACTCAACCAAGCATAATTCTTATGCTTTTAGTAACATAATAGCATACTAGTAACATTAAAGACACAACAGTTATGTTTGGTTAAGCACAAATTTTGTAAACATCTTTCAAGAACTTGAGTTTGCATGATGGTGGACTCTGTTGTAGTACAAGAGTTTTAACTTAAATGATAAGAGTTCAGTAATAAAATTGTTACTAACTCCACACATTACTCTAAGAACTAAATGCATTTAACTAATAAATAACACAAAGATGTTCATTATATACACAACCAACCAAATACAGTAAAATTTTAGAGACCCGAGTGTTCTTTACAGGACATAAGATCCACCCCCCAACCCTGCTAAGCCAGGCTGTCTAAAGTATTACTATCTTAAATGTTTTACTACACGGTGAGGCATACTGATACTGAAAATCTCAGAACATAAAAGGTACACATATAAATATACTATAGATGAAGTCACTTTTATACATTAAAAAAAAATAAAAACTTAAAGTATATCCTAACTAAGAGGGAACATGTTACTTTAGAACCACATTTCTATTTTGTTACTACATTTGTCTATATGAATAATCAGACAGCACCAAGTATACAAAAGTAGTTTTGAAATATTCTTCTTATACTAAAATTGTGCTGCATGTACAATTTGGTTCATGATTTCAAAACAAGGGGCGGTTTAAAATACACAAGTTATGATTATGATAATTTATTAAATAGTTAGCTGCAATGATACCTACTGAACACAATCCTCATTTTCATTGCAAATATGAATGAAATAAAAGTCCTTTTTTCACATTATACACAAGAAAATAATCTTCCAAACTAGTTCCTAAACAACTGAACATGCTAACAATTTAAACTTGTGTAAAAAAAATAATATATATATATATATATATATATATCAAGTTTTTAAATTTTTCTAGTACAATAATTTAATACATACCCAATATGTGCACTGTTGCCTCTAGATATAAGTTTGCTCATTAATAAATCTTTCTGTATGTAACACCAATAGTTTAAAGGGAGCCTTCACAAACACTAATGACCCCTTAACTGAGCATCTTAAGTTTGCTGTAATCTTAATTATAATAATGGGAATCACTTCTGATAAAGAGAAAAACAAGAATGAAGTAAACAATTCTTGTAAAATTCTGTTCTTTCCAAGATGGTGATTTAGCTATTGAACTGTTGACTCTATAAGCAAGGGCAGAACAGGAGAATCTCTGTGTTGCACTCAAGTATGATTACCCAATATAAACTTCTTACCCTATTTAAGAAGTTCTCCGAGAACAATAAAGACAACATTTCATAAAAAACAAAAGATCCATGATTGGTACTCAAACATCATTGAGTTAGTTCACAAGTGTCCCTCATAAAATGACAGAAACCATTTGGGAGGCAACATTATTTCATACTAAGAGAAAACATGTTTTCTTTCACTTTTAGTAATCGAACATCATTTGGAGAGTTTTCTGGCAACAAATGCGAGAAGGACCTTCATAAAATGATGAAGCAAGAACAATAGAATTCATAAAACAAATTGAGATTGTGCAGGTGACAAAGTATCAGCAGGATTAGGGCCAACTAGCTTACTAGTAAAAGAAGGATTTTTTTTGCACTGTTAAAACAAACTTGACCTTTGTCAGAATAAAACTGTTCTTCTTGACACTTAAAGTTATCAAAAGACTACTTAACCAAACATTAAGATTATCATGCATTTAAAGATTTTAGTACTTTCAAAAATTTCCAATGAAAATTTGAAATTTAAGCAATGCAAGGAAAGTAGAAAACTAAATATCATTATGAATTGTAACACAAATGTCACTACTAACTAGACTTAAGAGTTAAAGAAACAAGATCAAGCTCATTTCAATAGGTCTGAGAAGGATAAAACAAAACATCAGAAACATGATATTGAGCAAAAGTTAGCTACAAGAATAACCAATATGAAGCATAGTCTCTGTGATTCAGTAAAGTAAAAAGAAGGGACAATATGATACTAAAAAGTTCCAAAACCATAGTTACACATTAAAACATTTACTTTTTGTCTAAGTATTTAGGGTTGTCTATTTGGAATAGTCAGGAAAAATTTGCTAAATGTTGCTAGTTTGACTAGCATCAGACAAAAGTTCAATCAAATGTAAAAGCTGTAAACCTACTAAAACTTAATTATTTAATACTTATCATTGGCTTAAAGGATATGTAGTATATTTCACATTATAATTCAATACCTAACTAGTTCGATGATGCTACCTAAGCTGCGTAGTGGTTAGAGGTTGCAAGTAAACAGGTTAAATGTTTTTAGCAAACTGAATAAGCCAACAGTGGTTGTATTATAAAGGTGTTAACTGCATCAAGACATCTTAACCTTATTTTTAATTTCAAAATTTTAAACTAGATTTCCAAATAAATGGAAAAAAAACAACTAAGATTGAACAGTATTACAGCTTCCACACAGCTATTGTTAATGCAACTTAAACATTTAATTATTCAATATAAAAAGAAAGGCTTCACCATAAAAATAGCATTAAAATTGCATTTATAAATGAATGAAATATAATTGTAAGCTTTTATTTGTAACTCAAAGCTTAACAGTTGCCAAAATGGTATTTACTAATAGAATATACATTCAATAAATGACAGTTTTAATTCTTTCAGCCTTTTTTCCTTAACAAATTAAATTAAATTTCAATTTTCAAAACAAAACAAAATAAAGAACAAAGTTTTCTTTTTGACCACAATATATTAAAGTTTGTTTTACCAGCTTCAAAAGTGAGGGAGGTAAAAGCGTCTGTTCAATAATAAACTTATAACTTCCTAAAAAATAATTTATTTTATTGTTCACTTCTTCTTGTCAGGTCCTGACTTTCCATAACAACTGTCTAAGATGAGTCCTAATAAACAAAAAAAAAAAATTGTGCATTTCAGTTTTTATTTTGAATGGAAGAAACAACTCTAGCATATGTCAATCAAATTTCTTTCTCTCTTATTTAATGACAGCGTTTTCATACATACAGTTGGTACATAATGAAAATTATAAGCTTCCAAACGAAGTAGTCCGATTTTGATTATTTCCACAGATATTAGAGCTGGGTAATTAGTGGTATTTGCTAACTGATTGATCAAGTAGTACATGCCCCTAGTGCTGTATCTATAACTATGCAGCTACTCAAACACTTTGTAACTAACCAAGGGAAATGAATAACCAATTTCATTTATTAAGCAAACAAGTACTTATTCTAATTTTTATGTCTGACTGCTCGAAGAATATCAAAAAATACTAGGTTTTTACTTAGTCTAACATCAAGTTATTCTGTAAAATAAAACTTTTGATAGTTATAAAGTTACCTTACAAAATTTGAAAATCATTAGGGAATGAATAAGAATAAAAACTAAAAAAATTATTCATAAAATATATTGTGTTAACAAGTATCAATGTTTAACTTTTTTACACTAGCTTCAGTAATGTTTCATTTTCACAATGATAGTACAATACTATTTAAGGTTTTGAAAGTTGTCTGTGTAAAACCAAATTTTCAGTATTTTTTTTATATGAAAGACTTCCACTAGAATATTAGTATAGCATATTGGATAAACCATTGTTGACTATATGGTTCTAAAATAAACTAAACAAGTCAAAAAGTTAGAATAACAACACATTCTGTAAATAATTAGCTCAATGAGGTTATAATTCTGTTATTTCAAAGCTTATATCTTTATTTCTAGTAATGTGGTCAATATGGAACAATAACAGAAACAAACATTAAAATATTTTAATTAAAATTAAAAAGTTATAATTATCTATAATCATATTTAGAAAAAAGTATAGAAGAACCAGTAAACAGCATGACTTTCTTTCAAAACTAAAAAAATCATTACTTAGTCACACCACTTACATTTCCACTTGGAAATAGCCATCACATGAATGTCAACATTTGATGACATTCATGTTGCTGTATTAGTTTAGAACTAATCATTTATTGGCTGAGGCCTTAGCTGGATTGCTATAGACTTCAGATGTGTTGATTTAAAAAAAACCTCAAAAGCTTTTATAGTAATCAACAGCCCAAAAAAAAAAAAAAATAGAAGGGAGTTCAGACCTCTCTTGATATGCACCTATTTATACAACATAAACAAATGGATAGTCTCAACCCCCTAGATCCATTCTTGCTTATACAACATTAAAGAATATAGTTATCCAATTTAAGTTAGAAACATAACACAAGGTGAAACAAAATAGTTAATTTACACTTTTCACAAACAAGTAAAATTACTATGAATTCCAGAGAATCTTACAAGTTGTTTTATTTGCCCAACATTTCAGATTTATGCCTTCATCTTACAATTAATTACCATTAACTCTCCAGCTACTTCAGTGTTAAATAAAGTGCAAGTCAAAGAGTTCATTAAAACAACCATATGCTCCTGATGAAGGCATAAAGCCAAAATTTTAAGCAATTAAAAACTTTTAAAATTCTCAGGAGTTCACAGTCATATTTATATGTAATTATGTGTACTAAGCTCCAGTTAGTGGTTTACATTTTCACTTAAGTATCCAGAGTTAGCAGTGGATGCTGCTAGCCTTATCAGCAGTTTAAAATTAATCTCAGTGATAAATATCCTTAGTAGATTAAGAATAACAAAAGGTAGGGCAAGGAGCTTTAGCAGCAATGGAACTCAAACTTGAGGCTCTCAAATCACATGGCACCTAATCTGCAGTTGAAAAAAATTAAAACTAACAGATGGAGGGATAATATTTAAAATTTCTTGTACAGAATCACAGCAGAATTCTGTAGAGAAAGAAACTCCTTGTGGATAAAAGTTTGATAAAATATCTTGGTACATAAGAAACAAAAAGTATCTGCAATTGACTGAGTCTTTAATGTGATGAACAGAATATTTGATTACTTTATATATAACTTCTAGAAACCATGGACCCCATTAGGGACTTCTGTTGGCCCCCACACTTTTAGGCTGATGTGCCATGTCCCTCAATTTGCTCATTAAAGATTGGTTACTCTGATATTATTTTGGGTGTGGCTCCAGGGGCTAGACACTTGTGTATTATGACTTTATTCAAGCTTATTGGTATTCTATACCAGAGTATAACACAAGTAGGTAACAAACATTAAGTAACTAAGTTCTGTTTAATTAGCTTCACTTACTATTTTTACCTGATGGTTGGAAAATTTACAACCCAGATCCATACCATAACTGTTCTAATAGATTTTCTAAAAAGTACTGACTTATTTTTACAATAAACTGCTGAAGATAGATCATGTATAATTCTAAACATCCAGAATATACAACTATTGTATTTGTTTATTGTTCCATTGACAAGATTCCACTTATTATAGTAGTATGTTATACAGTTACATTATTTCGGTTTTTAATAGCAACAAGTGCATATTGCAGTGGTATTTCTTCTGAAAAAATGTAATATTTTCTCATGAACATACATTTATTCTTTCCCAATCCAGTTTTTTTTGGTTTTTTTTAATACAGACTATCAAGATGAATATAACCAAAGTTATATCACTATAATAAATAATTTAGAATGCTCTAACAGAATAAAGAAGCTGAAAAAAATTAACATCTGTGACTAGTTGGTTGGTTGTTTGACAGTTTTTGGCACAGAGCAACTACATTATCTGCACCAAACAACCAGTAAAAAAGCTGCAACTAAAATATAATAAAATGTAAAAAAGAAAAGTTAACAATGAAACAAGGCCCCAAAAGCAAAGTAAAACATTCAAATAGATAAAAAACAACAACAATGGCCTATAAAAAAATTATAATTATTCAACATCAGGGTTAAAATGGTGCCACTGCTCACACTCGTAATGATGGCACGAAAATAAAATGTGGACAATTGTGACTTGAGTGTCACAAAGGCCACACATTGGCAGATCAGTCCCAACTAAAAGAAAACAACGTGTGAAAAAACTATGGCCTACACAAGACAACTTCCTCAGATCCTTTACAGAAACTAGACAGCCAAAGAACAACCATAGGTTTGATCTCGAATAGCTTGTGATGAATTTTCTCACCCCAAATCGACTGCCAAATGGCTTGAAACCAGGTCCTGATCATAGAACCATAGTCCATATACGGGACAAGCACAGCTGTGACAATGCCAAAGAAGATGTTTGGTTTTAGAGTTCTTCTTCATTAATAACTAAATATAAGCTTGTTACATATTTGGTTTTAAAGTTCTTCTTCAGTAATGACTAAATATGAAATTGTTACATGTTTAACTTTGAGAAGGTACAATTAAAGCATTATTCAGCAATATTAAAAAACTTTTAGGCTCTAGCATCAATGAGTTGCCTTCAGACATAGTGAATTCAGTAAGGGATTTAAGGGGAAGGCCTGATAAATATTTGAATGATTAAAAAATAACTCACTCACCCCTTAAGTTTAGTTTAGTGAATGGAATAGCCTACATGCACCAACAAGTCCCTTGTCATCCTTAAATCTTACAAGTATTAGGAAAAACTTTATTGCTAAATAAAGCTATGTAGGGCTGGCTATTGAACTTGAAAAAAGGAACCAAGCAAGATAGGAATGAAAGTGGACATTTCAGTTGATCCAGCTAATGATCACATAGCAGACTAAGTCGTCTTGACATTACAGGAGAATGAAATCCCAACATTAGTGGCTTCTCCACTTTATCTAACAAAAGCTTGGTGTGTGAATAGAATCTCAGCTTTCATCATTATACCTTTCCTTTAATTAGCTTTAGAATACTACTTTTATGACTATCTTACAATAGAGTAACATTTTACGATTGTAAATTCTGGTTCTCTTTGTTTTGTCAGTAAGGAAGTCAGCAAAGTAGGGATTTTATTCCCAAAGTAAAGTCAAGACGGCTTAGTCCGCTATGTGATCATTAGTTGGATCAAGTGATATGTCCACTTCCATCTCTATCTTGTTTGGTTCCTTTATTCATGTTCAGTAGCCAGCCCTACACAACTTTTTTTTTTATTTAGTGAATTTTTTTTTTCCTAATACTTTTTTTTTCAATAAGATGGCTTACATGGGTTATTGAATGTATTCTAAAGCTTTATACATTTTGTACAGAATAGTAGTAAAATAAGTAGTTAAAAATTGCGAAGACTGTTTTGCTCTATCAAATGATAAAATTAGTTACTGTTAGAACTAGGTAGGCCCTAGGTCTGTTGAAGAAAGATGATGATGAACGAAAATAAGAAATCTCAGTTTTGGCTATTTGCCTGTTTTTGATTTTGGGATACTTTGGACAGCTGAAAAGAAGCATATACAAAGGAGATAGAGTGACTATGCCAGGTAGCTCTTCATGTCTAGTTTCTAATGACATGTATGAGCACTGATTTTTTTTTTGTTTACTCCTTCACTTCATACATAATATAGGGGTTGGCTCTCTAAAGACACCGACTGTATAATTCACAAAGCTGAAAATGGATTCTACATGTTACAGTCATCTGATGCTCATCTATTAATGGCTGATAATTCCTGTTTTACCCTGTACTTAAGCTTTTTAAAGAAACACCAAGTTTCTGTAAGAAAGTTAACTTCAAGGTGTAATAGCGTTGTTTACACTAGAATTATGATTTTTTTTTTAATTTTGCATATAATAATAATAAAACAGGTAGTCAAAGATTGTTGTTTGACATAAATGTACTTCAATATCTTTTTTAAATCTCCACAGATAACAATAATAATTCTAATTTTAAAATTTGATAAGCAACTAGAAAGGATGATTAAAATTGAATTGGGATGCTTACCGGGCTTCTTGGTCAACTCATTGCCAGTACCAAAAACTTTGCTTTCCAAACAGTGTTTTTTTTTGGTTTAATAATGTTTGGTTTAATAATGAAAACATTTTTCGATTTAAAAGAAAAAAAAACAATTTTTTTTGTAAGATTAATATACATAGAAAAGTTTTCTTTTAAAACCTTACTTACACAAACAGAGTAGTTTGAGTGTAGTAATGATTTCTGTGAGAAATAAAAAATTATATTTATATTAAACTTATTTAACTGCTAATGTTAAGTTTCATGGGGCCTTGCATAGTTGTTTTAAACATATAAATAACTATTTCCAATTTATAGAATGAGAATGAATAATAAATTTTACTCAAAACTGAGTCTGATATTAAAAAGTTAAAGTTCTGTTTATTTGTCAGGCAAAAAAGATACACAAACAGTCATCTGTGCTGTACTCACTACAGCTATCAAATCCTGGGTTTTATCATCACAAGCTTCAGACTTACCACTGAGCCACTAGGGGAGAAGTAATCAAAACTTCTCTTAGAGCTTTTGAGTTAAAAAGAATAATAAAAATAAAGATGATCATAGTAAAGATTTATGCTATGACAATTATGGATAGTTTGTCCTTTGTGAACACCTAGCTTAGCCTTAAGTCAATTTTCTACTGGTCTTACAAGACACATAATGAAATAAACCTAAAATAATATGCAAGTTGTAAGGAAGGCTTTAAATAAGGTCAACTCGCATGCAGCACTTTTCAGCTACAATTAATAATTGATTAGATTACCTGAAAAGACTAGAGCTGATCCTATCCACTGTCGATTGGAAAGTGTATTTCCAAAAATAATTACTGATCCAAGAACAGTAAAAAACTTTCTAGTGGTAGTTATGATAGAACAGGAAAGAGGTCCAAATTCACTAACTGTCAAGAAGATAAACATCTGTGAAGAAATAAATGAAAAGTATATTTTAAAAAAGCAGCCATTCTTTTAATTCTTTGAATATTGCAAAGTGTTTATTATGACTGCTGTTTACTAGATAACAATGAACTTATAATTAACTTTGCTTGCTTTTGTATGTTCTTTTTAGCAAGAGTCCTGTCATGTACGATGAAACAGCTTGCAGTTAAAAATTATGATAAAGTTTATCTGTCAGTCAGATTTTCTGGACCACCTCCTATAGAATCCATCTGTGATTACACATTTTTAACTTGTAGTCATCCATTGGTGGTACAAAATACAAGACATTTTCTAAACACTAGCATTAAAAATGTTTAGTTCTTTTTACATAATATAACATAATAGTCAAACAATAATGTCACCATGGAATTTTTAATTTTTGTGAAACTTGAGTTTTATTCAGAAATATACATCTTTAACTTCTTTTGTACATTTATGATAAATTATTTGATTATATTTGAAATACAAATGTTTCTATTAAGAAAAATATTTTAAATAATCTCATTTGTCCTTCCTGTTAGATATTTTCTTGTATATGTTTTTGAACATGAGATTGTCCCTCAAAGAAAATATAAAATATCATTATTTCGGCTGCAAAGAACCTAACTCAGTTATTTCAGCAAGGCAAGATGAAACATTTACAGGTTCTAAAAATATAAACATCATGCGATAGCAAAGAAATATTCTACAAACATTTGTTTCCATAATTGAATAGAGTTGTTTCCAATTTGATTGGATATTTTTGCAGTTCTAGTAACATTTGGAGCACTGACACCATTTCCAAACGGCTTCTGTCAGTAGTTTATTCCACAAATTCCACATGTCCCTTGAGTTATTTTAGTTTTACTTGAGCTCAAACATTCTGATAGTATTTGGCAAGTAGAATAGGAGGGGAAATATAATAGAGTAGAAAACAGCTGCTGTATATAAAAGCCAGGTGTGTTAAAAAAATTCATTTGTCCAACAAGTAATTGTTCTTTAAAGTTCTACAATCTTGGCATTTTTCCAAACATTTAGAAGTATTTTAGCCATTCAACATAAACTTGCAATTGTTATGAGCACACATTTTCATAAGATCTAGTAAAGAACACATCTATTTAAAAACCTGTACATCATAAACCTTTGATTATTAGGCTTCATCTTTAGTGAAACCAGTATCCTGTACCCTATTTTAGCTTACCTTAAATCACAATTCGTTGCCCATAATTTAAGGTTTATTTTGTTTGGTCTGTTTATTTATAATATAATAATAAAAAAAAGATCGTCATTTTCTGCAAAATAAAATACAAGTTATTCAATAGAAACCGACTTATATCAACCATCTGTTTTATTATGAGTGCTGAATGTTACCTGTTTTATTAAAGCCTTAATTTTTTTCAGGGAAACTTAGGATTAACATATTCTATAATTTTATTATATAAAGATTACCATATAATTAACTTCATCCCCGAGGCATAAACACACTATTTAGCTAGCAAATTTATCTTTCAAAATTTTTCAATAGAACCAGCTCTCACCTGTCCTAAAGCACTTGTAATGGAAAACATTAAGATGTTGTAAATGATATAAGGATAATTTTGTACAAATACCAAAAACTTCCACACTTCTCCAGTCAATAAAAGAGCTGAAAAATAGAACATCTGATTAACACAACATAAACAAGTCAACACTTCCATGTTTCTTTTTAACACTTTTAAAAGAAAACTGTATTTACTTTAGCCTTTAAAATCACAATGATGCATGAATATCACAGGCCTTTAAAGACAGAGATAATAATAATAAGAGACAAAATAAAATAATGCTGCACTTAAAAAATGTGCTAAAAGAAATTATTTCAAGTGTGTGTGTGTGTGTAAAGAAAACCTACTTCTTATAACTACTTTTTCACTCTATCAACTAACTTTTGAATGATTCTGCCTATAAAAAGTTGTAATGCCACCTATAAGGTAGAAATATTTGTGTGATTAAATTTATAGGCATCTTTGGAATAAACTAGATCACAAGCTCTGAGGGATAATATTCGTAAGACATAACAAACAATTCAGTATTCTATATATACATGTATACATCTTATAAAAAAGACAGTCAAAATAATTGTTGTCCAAAATATTACGAGGCCATATTTTTCTTTTTTTTCATACATACAATGACAATTTTGAAAAAGAAATGTGTTATTTTCAGACTGAAGCTAAACAAGCAAAGATCAAAGACAAATCACCTTGTTGTCTGTAATTACAAGGTTATAAAACTTACCTACTCCAAGGTAACATGTAGACCAGATATTCATCATTAACATCATGTGACCTGATTTAGACTGGTGCTCGGAGCGCATCCTTTCTTGAATTGCACCAGTGAACCCATCCATAGAGAGGGAAACAAGCTATCAAACCAGTTAAACAAGAACAGAAATATGTATAATGCAGAATGTAAAAGAAAATAAAAAATTGCAACAAAAACCATTAGCCATTATAAAATTAACTAATCAATGCAGACATGCATAATTATACAACAAATTGCTACATATTTTCATTGATAAAATATAAGCAACAGTAAAACAAAATAAACTAGAGGGGCACCCGGCACTGATCATATTCAGCTCTCAAAAAATTCGAAAATGTGTCTGTATGTCCGTCATTATCAATGAACACAGATCATAATTGGCAGTAGAGTGAGGAATAATATTCTACAGATGTCCACCAAGTTTTATCAAAATCCAATAATTTTTGACTGAGTTATAGAGCAAAAATAATGTGAAAAATTGGTCCTCATGTTAACAGATATGGTTTTGTTTTTCGTGACCTTGCTGTAACCTTAACCCTTTGAAAAACTATTCACTTCTAAGTTGGGTCATAGTCCAAAATGTATACCAACTTTCATTCAAGTTCATTCAGCTGTTTGAGAAACCTTGGTGACAAACATACACATGCACACAGGGATGAAAACAACATCCGTCCACCTTTGTTGGTGGTGGTTAAGATTACATATATCTAATAACACTAATATACCTTAAGTTTTTTGATTTTTTGCATTAGTTTAAATCATTATATCAAGGAAAGAACAGATTTTTTTTTTGTTTTCATATTTTCATCATAAGTAATTTACAAGTGCAGTTTTACAGTGAACTATAACTTACCAGTAAAAGTTCTCCCATGCCAATCAATGACCCTGACTGTGTGTCAGAAGCAGCTTTGTTGTCCTTGTACATGAACAGACAAACACCAGTCACAATCAACAACACAAACAAGTACTTTAAAAGTGTATAACTTTTACGTCCAATTAAAACACCGAGAATCATAACTGGTATTGGTTTACAAGACTTCCCCACAACCTGAAAATGAAAGAAAGTATTATCTTTATACAGCAAATAATTGAAAATACCTTTATAACTATAGATTTTATTTATTTTTTAATCAGATGATATTGAGAAGCAATATTCCACTATTTAAATAAAATATGAAAGCACTATTTATAAGTCTGGCAAGTGATTTGCTAACTCAGCCTCCACACAAAGCATCAACAGTGTATTTTTTTTTTTCGATCCCTGGGACTGACCTCGTAACCATTTTGTGCTTGTTATAGTTTTCATGCTTTAACTTTTAAATCAGTAGGCAAATGTTAACAAAATTTGGCAGTTTTTCAGTAAACATTACAATGCTTTCATATGCAAAATATATAATTTTTTTTATTAAGTCTTAAGGTTTGTAAATCAACATTTCTCTCATGCCCTTTTTTCTTTTCACATCTTGCCTATCTATCATGTAAAGTAATTTTTATTTTAACATTAAAAATACTTTTATGAATCAGAAAATTTTGAAATTTCAGTTATCAAACATTTCTTAAGAAAAAACTTTATATTCTATCTGTTATTTTCAGTAATTAATCTCTGTATGGGTTCGGTAAATTTGACCGATCTAGCAACCACCATAAAAATTAGGAAATAGACATAAATTATGCCTCTTTCATTCTAGAATGAACACAAATTATAACATGAAAACATAAAA